ATAAATTCTAAATATCGCCATCTTTTGAGAAGAGAAACACGTTAAATTTATTAATATTACAAATCATTACGGCAAAATTCCTGAAAAACTTTTTAGGTATATTACTTTGAAATTCTGAAAATGATGCAATTACGATACTATATATATATATATATATATATATATATATATATATATATATATATATATATTCATGTGTTTCATATATAAAATATAAATTGAAATCATTATTTGGGATATATTAGTAATGAATTAGGCAGAAGATACTATAAATTAATATATAATTCCACCTATAACTTTATATTAATAACTTTCTGACATAGTTAAATAAAATGAATTTTTTTAGATTATTTATTAGAAACACTGTACCAAATTTATTATTTTCTAATATTCATAACGGATTAATATTAGTTAAATAATTATTTTAAACTATCTTTTTAATTCATACGATAAAATATTGAGTAATATATATATATATATATATATATATATGGACTATGGAAAAGGTTTATTAATTTCATTTCCGAAATTTTTCAATAACGAATAATGCCATGCAAAATGCCAAATTCTAAATTTATGCATACAATTAATCTCATAATATTGATATATTGTATTAACTAAATTGCTCTTGAATTTAAATAAATGAATTTTATATTCATTATTTATTAATCTGACTTATTCGATAATTAAATGAAATTGAAGAAAACTATTTAAAGAATTCCTCTAATTTTGACTCGAATATCCGAATTCTAATTTAAAAATTTTATTTTATATATTATATATTCTTTTAAAAATTGTATTAATGACAATAAAGCTAATGTTATATTATTATAAATTGAAAATATAATAGGATAAGCGCTAAGATTTAACTAATATTTTCAAATCTATTAATAAGCAAAAGTATTGTCAAAATATTTTAAATACGTTGGATAATTATTTTTCAATTTATGATTTTAAATTATCATTTAATCTTTAAATTAGCCATTTATATGATAACCTTGCAAATAGTATATATTATAATTATCAGTTTTTCAATACAATTTAATTTAAAAAAATCTGTAACACTAACCATTGTATAAAATGGGTCATAAATAATTTATTTTTAATTATGATAAATTATTAAACTTACTTCAAATTGTGTGAATAATTGTTTGTTTACATCAAATTTATATTAAAAAACTTATTAATTTTTTTAATTTTCGTTATAATGAAAGTTGTTAGTATGTAATTTAATCATAATTGAATCAATTTAAATCGACATGAATATTCTTATAATTATAGTAAAAAAACTAGAATGAAAGATGAAAATATTTTAAACAAATATTGCATTTATAATTTAAAGAATTTGTTAATGTAATTTTCCGAGATCATGCAACAAAATCACACACACGCATACATGATTGTCAAAATGTTTTAAAAGTAAACTTTTATAAGTATTTAGCGATGCATATATATTGTATTTTACAAATAATTGGTGTAATAAATATATCAATTCTTGTTTAATCGTGTCAACATACTTTATTTCATGTACATTTCGTTAATACAACCAGTGCTAAGTTTCTTGTACCGTATTTTTTATATAATATTTCGACAGTGCTTCATATAATCATTGTATCTTTCAAGGCATTCGCATAATTTATAATTTATCACATTACCTGAGCTTTAATAAACAAACTTTAACTGGCTTCTATAATTCTTCTCTACATGGATAAAGTCGAAAAAATTTTGAACTTATTTTAAATATCTAATGAAAAATTAATTTCTTTTAAAATATGATTCCATTTGGTTGATATAACTTTACTACCAATACTAAAAACTTTAATACTATTGTTATTTTAAACGAAGAGAAAAATTACGTATTTTAGAAGTGTTAGAGAATAAAACCGTAGAATTGTTCTTTCTTTATATAATGATTTCTGTAATTATTTAAAAATTAATTACTTGTATATTTAAATTTCTTATCTTGCTAATCTATTTAAAAGATTTCTCAATATACGTAAGGGTATTGCTTTTCATTTAAAATGATAACACGAATGAATATAGTTACGAATTCAAATTAGCAATGCAAATTCATAATAACATATGTCTTATACTTCACTTAACATTATGGTCCCTACAAAAAATTCGTTACATTTATAAGCAATTTACACATACTGGATTTTTTCATTTACACTTTCTTCTATTTCTTCTATTATTAATGAATTGTTATATCTCTTGATTAATGCTTTACTTTAAATCCTTAATCATAAATTCACTAAAAAGTTTGAATCACTTTACATTCATAATTAACAAGGGAATGTTATATACAATTATAATAGTCAAACCAATATGACAATCACTCAGGTTTTCTTGATTAATAATTCTAATGATCTATTCGGCTATTAAAATTATGAATTATTAAAATTTAAAAATAATAATGATGTTAATAGTAACAATAATAATAATAATAATAATAATAATAATAATAATAATAATAATAATATGTGATTCACACATCGCTGAATTCAATAGCACATACATATAGGATAAAAACAATTTAATTTAAAAAGAAAAAAAATAAAAAAAAAAAATAAGAACCATGCAAGAAGGCTTTTTGAATAAATGAGTATTTAAGTAACGCAGTCGGCATTCTGATTCATTATGTTGAAATTCATATTTTTGTCGTCTATTATATAGATTATCAGACATCAATCATTGTATTTAAAACAGAGATAAACACATGATAATAAAAATCGAAAAAAACATTGTTTCTAATAACAATCTCGTCTTCAATTTTTTTTTTTACTGAATATAAATACAATTTATATTTTTTACAATTATTTATGTACATTTGCACATAGCTTTGAATATATATATATATATATATATATATATATATATATAATTTGAATACATATATACACACGTTGTTATTTACTTCTTATGATGAATTGATAATTTACAATTGCTTATAATATTTTCAAACGTTATTTTCACTTAGGTTTGATTAGGCATTGTATAAATTTCAGACACATATTACCAGCCTTGTTTCAAATCTCATTATCTTTTCTATAAAGTCATGATCCTTTTTATCAAATATTTTACAAAGCAGATTTTTCAAACATGATACTATTATTATATATTGCATGGATTTATAACGTATAAGATAGTTTATAATTTTAATAATAAATTAATTTATCTTAAAAACTGTTTTTTTTTTAAATGTTGAAAATACACTCAACGACTCATAGTATCTAAATCAAAGAAATTATTGCTTTTAACATTAATATTCTATTACTTAATTTGTGCATATAAGATATTTAATATTTATAGCATAGATATTACGTGAAATGCAATTCTCAAGAGTTAAAATTTACAGACTTTGTTTATTGGTGTTTTTAAAATACATTGATATGCACATTATAAAGCATACATGTTGAATAAAAAATCATGTAAAAGTGAAATATTTGATATACTGGACATATCAAATTCATGTTATAATTTAATACTAAAAAATTAAAATCATATTTGAAATTTGGATAGTTGATTATGAATTTAGAAAATAGTCAAATTTCAACAGGTATAGAGTACAACATTTTTATTTCTTCTTTTATTAAATATGTATTATATTTTATCTTTTAGAACATTACTCAAAATAAAAAAGTTTAGGTTTTAAAATAGATTTTTGATTTTTATAAACAGTTATCAGCTTTGAGAAGATTGCATGCCTCATTTAAATGAATTCTACACATTATATCTACAGTAGACTGAAAAGTCTTCTTTTAAAATAACTGTATATTTTATTAACAATTATTAGCTAAAAAACTTGACAATAAAATGTCGATATTACTAAAAATTGATATTGATTCGACGTAGAAAATGTTTACATAGGCTTATACTATAATTGTGAAGTTTAAAAGTAAAGAGACTTACAAAAATATTTATAATAAAAATGCATTCTATAAAACCTATCTAAAACAAACAAAAATTGCATATAACAATTAAAAGATTAAAATAATGAAAATTTTATCACTTCTTTTTTAACCATCTTATATTTTAAAATTTTAATCTATAAACAAGGAATATATTTATATTAATAATAAGATAATCAAAGTTTGTTGATTTTAAAGTAAAATAAATATACGTAGAATTTTTTTCATTTCAATTAATTTATGCTTATATTAATAAAACAAATAAATTTTCTTCTATCTTTTATCACCAGTACTTTTAACTTGAATTTTATATTTAAATATAATACAAAAAATTATTAAACAATCATGTGTAGAGTATTTAAGAATATTATTGTTTAAACGTCAAGGAGTTGATAATTAATTGTTTGAAAGTACTACTGCATAATTTAAATAATTGCTAAGCTTTGAAAAGTTAAAATATTTCAGAAAGTTGAAAATTATTCACATTTAAAATTAAACATTATATTAATAATGAATAATGTTTATGTGAATTGTTACATATACAGTCTAGAGATATAAGAAAGTCTCTAAATTATTCCTTTGAATATTTTCAATTTTATAAGCTTCAGAAATTCTCAAATATTTTAACTTCTCTATATCTTAAATATTTTAAATTCTCTATATCGAGTAATATTCGTTAAAAACTACGATTCCTGGTTAAAAAAATATAAAAGAAAAGAGAATTATTAAACTGCTGTGTACTTGTAAAGCATATATTATTTAATAAATGTACCTGTAATTTAGATCATTTTATTATAATTTAGATAGCTTCTTTGTTGTAGAATATTAAACTTTACATCGCAAGTTCTTCTAGTCTTATATCTTTCATTAAGGCAGGAGTGTTTTCTTCATTTGTGTATTTACAGTTTTATATATAATTTATTTTCCTCGCGCAAGGCTTTGACTCAACATAATTGCAAGTCGAACGAGGCAAAATATTTACTGTTTCAATTACAATTCAGCCACACTATTTTTTTCTTAAATTTGTTTCTTAAATTTGTTAAAAAACAAAAATGTATAATCTAATAATATATTTTCTTATATATTTCCATCTTTTTCATAGATGTAATGATATATCTGTCATAGCAAACAGACGATATGTACACTATTTGTAATCAATTAACAATTCTTGAATACACTTAACACATGAATGGACTTATATTAGATTAAAAATAAAGGCGCATTGTGATCTCTTGGATTCTTCTAAAATGAAGTAAAAATGAGGCCGCCATTAAACCTTTCTATTTAGAGTATCGCTGACGATTGAGGTTGGCTTGGTAATGATATTAGGTTCAGGCTCAGACAGTAGAGCTTGCCTTGTATCTGAAACGTTCAAAATACTTTTCAGATCCTGAGGGCTACGTATCGTTAACGATTCAGTCTCCTCTAAATTTTTCGACTTTTTCGCTTCGGTCGGTGAAGAGATCATCGATGGCGGCGTAGGAACCTCATAATTTGGCAAATTTGTCTGCTCCCCCTCGATCTCATGCGGATGCTGAGGTTTTTCTTCGAAAACTATAAAAATGTATATGTACATTATTTTTTGCACTTTTTTTTTAATTATAATTTTTAACAAACAACTTCCTTTCGTATCTTACGTTTATCAAGACTAATGATGGATCCAACGAGTTCATTAACATTAAGAGAAGGCATTTGATCTTCCATCTGTCTTCTTCTGCGTACTAACCACCAATCAATGAGAAACAGTGCCAATGCTAAAATCTTGATACCACAGCATAATCCCACATATCTGAAATAATTTTAAAAGTCACTGAACTAATTTAGAAGAAAAAAAAACAATTATTGACTTAATTAATTGTCTCCCAACTTACCTATATCTAAATTGTTCTATATCATACAAAAGACAACGGCCACCCTTTTCACCACAAGTACTTTTCCACAATAAACAAGTAGAATCAATAAGATTACCAAATAAAATTGGTGCAGGTATATAACCAAATAATCTGAATATTACAAATTGCATTCCTAAGGCAAAAGATCTTTCTTCTTCTGACACTGACCTACAAAAATAATTGTTGTATGAAAAACTCATTCGTGACGTCAAGGTTTAATATTCAATGTTTACCTTAAGACTATCATAAGAAGTGGCATTTGTGTTACGGCAACAACAAATGTCATAAAAAAAAGTAAAATAAGAAATGGATATATTGTTTTACAGGGTGATGTGCATGGACCAGCTGTAGCCACAGGCACCACTGTTACTTCAGCAAATTCAGGAGTTGCTGGCGGAACTACAGTTAAGTTTCCATGTATACCTGTAAATATTATATTCCATCTTAATCAAATATCAATTAATTTACAAAAATAATTTTTTGAATTATTATTTACATCAATAAATAGTAAGTTTTAAAGTATTTTAAATATATATATATATATATATATATATATATATATATATATATACATATTAAATAAATATTTAAATATTGTTATGAAATAATATAAAATGATAACAGAAATAATTTTTAATTTATTATAAAATATAATAATGTTAGAGACACTTATGTTTATTTAAACATTATATTATATTAAAATTCCTTTCAGTATTTAAGTAAAATATTGAAGAGTACGTTCGAACCTTAATAACGAGATATGTACTTACAAGCACAGTTGGTAAAATTCGATTTGGAACTGAAGGCTGTACAACCGGCGTGACAAGGGCTGAAGTATGTGAGGCCATTGTTACCGCAAACTGGCTCAACGTCAGTCATGCGGCATTCGCAGCCGAAGTTACAAGCGGCAGTGAGATTAACCTGAAAAGGTTCAGGACCCTTGTTACTGCTGTTGAAATATGGAATTGTTGTCCCAGCCATCTTGACATTGTCGCATCCGAGGAAAAAGAGCAGCCCATAGCACACGAGGCAGATAACGTTGGACACGAGGACAAATTGCACTGCTCCCTTGGGCCTCAATTCGAGCCGTTTGAGTAGGCAGCCACCGAAGAAGATACCAATACATGCACCAGGAATGGCTATAGAGCCAGTAAAAATCGAAGCTTGGCTCTTACCAAGACTGAATTGTGTCTCCAGATATTTAGGCAGGAAGACGACAAAGCCTGACACAATCACTAATTCCATACAGGCACCAAGGCATGTTACCACGTAAACGGGATTGCAAACCAAACGCCACATACTTCGTGGAATATCTGAATATTATTTAAAGTAGCGTCACTTTATTTATTTTTAAATAATATTACTATAAATTAATAAAATTTCAATGAAAAATAAAATATACATAGAACTAAATTTCTATTTATTTTTAACAATATACTTTTATAATTTTTACGTTCACTAATGTAATACTTAAAAATACTCTTATAATTGCAATATTTGAGATAATTAACTAAAATAACGTTCTATAAAACTTTAGTACAATTTATAGTGTTATGAAGCTTTAGAGACTAATGCTAGGTTTAATTAAAAATAAAATATCTACCTTTTACATCTTTCCCATATCCAGTATCATCAGATGTTTGAGATTTTTTAGAATCCTTATTTTGTTCTTTTTCTTTGTTCACTGGTGGCTTATTTTTTTCAATGATTCTTATTTTTTCTTTTTCTCTTTGTAAAGTTTTAGGAAAGCTGAAAAATGGTATTGCTACGAAAATAAGAAGTAAACCACACAACAGGAAACCACCCCACCACATTCCAACCCATCGATGATCTCCAGGATCTAGAAATAGACATATTTTATGACACCAAATAAACGCGTATATTTAGGAAAAATATTTCATAATCATTATAAAACTTACCGATACTAATAATTGTCCCAGAAAATGAATCCATATGAAATGATAGGAGATAGGCTCCAAGAAGAAATCCTAAAACTGGTCCAAAGGCAGCCATACTATACATACATCCTAAACGAATAAAAATGATTAAAAATAAGTAAACTTATAAGCATATTCATGGATATGTTTCTTCAAAATTGTTAATAACCTAATTATATATCTTTTTTTTATTTATTTTATTTTTTTTTTTTTATATAGTTTATTCAGAACTTAAACTTAATTTACCTCATTTTTTTTTTTTTTTTATTAAGTTTAAATAAAACTATATTGACAAATTTTTAAATAAATAACCAAAAAAAATATAAGTTAAAATAGTAACTGTAAAAGTATGGAAATCATAATATTTATGAAAATTTTGCATTCTTTCAAACACAAATGTGCAAATAGAGTTATTAAAATTATAATTACTAAAACATGAACATACTAAACTGTTGATTAATATAATTTTAAATTTAATTCTGACAAGTAATTTACCGATATATAGCGATGCACTTTCTGGTCGTACGTGATCATCTATATACGTAGTACCCAGAGTAAACAAAGGAGAACCCCCACAGCCCAGTAAAAGCTGAGCTACTACAAAAAGCATGACTGGACCAGCAGTCGATGGAGAACCTTGAATGCAGTTATCTCCTCTTAAATTATTATGTGGTGCTAGTGGAGGTGAGGATAGCCCAGTAGATAAGCGACCTAATATAAAAAATATTATTTGTATTGATTTTGTATTGTTCTTTATAGAAAATGGATATTGTGTAACGTATTGCTATGGCATTCTTATAATATTTTTACCTTTGCAACTACAATTTTATTATAATCACATAGATAATATATTTTTAATAATTAGTTCAATTAATTTTATCGCATAAAAGATAAACGTTTTATGATTAAAATATTCTTCAAATTGAATAAGATTCATAAAAATAAAAATAATTAACCAGCTACTTATTTCTTAATATTAATAAAAAAATCTTTCACTATAAAATAATATAAGAATTCAATGTAAAATAACAAATAATTTAATTTTACAAATGCTTGAATTTACCCAAACCCATGTCTTGTTCCCTTAATGATATTCCACGACAAATATTATCAGAGCTGGAATTATTTGCAGTTGTGGTTAAATTTGGCTCAGCCGTGAAATGTGGTACCATGAATATCATTGAACCAAGTCCCATAATTACAGCTCCTGTAAATAATACATATAACAAAATTTATTTGTTATTTATTCAAATGCATAATTTAAAATATGAAATTACCAATAGCAATCCAAACTGGAATATGCCGTCGACTGCCAAGATAACTAACAAAAATTACTGTAATAACATTTCCTATTTCATAGGAGCTGGCTATGAGTCCAGACAGACTTGATGGAATTTCAAACCTTTTTTCAATGGTAGTGATTACGGAATTTATGTAACCAGAACTGAGAGCTTGTTGCAGTGTAACAAGGAATGACAAAAGAAATACAAATACCTGTGAACAAGAAAAAAAATTATTATTTCAAAGGATTTTATTAAAGTTACAAAGTTTAGCGTCTAATAATCTCACATTATGCAATAATTCTACGACTTTAGACAGAGTATATATAGTGGATTATATATAGCGAGATTTTTTTATAAGAATATTGAAGTCCAAATTTTTGTCCAAACATATTGTCTATTTCGAATGTGTGCTTCTTTTTTTTTTTTTTTTTCTTTTTCTTTTTTAATGTAATGATCTATAGGATATTTTTAAAAATTACCGACAATTTAAAAGCAACAACAAACTTGAAACAATATATTTATTGTCTTCAGTTTCATATTAAAATCAATATTTTATTAATATATCATTCGCATATACTGGTTTTTGTATTCGTATACTTTACTTATATATTAAAGTCGTTAAAATTTACGATTATGATTAATTAAATTGTATCCTGTAATAATTCAAGAAAAATAAATTAAATTTTTTTAATAGTAATTTGGCATTGCTGTTATATTCTTACTTCTTAAAACGCCAAGTATAAACAGGAATATTATCGCTGAATCTATATATGAATTCTTGAAGAAGTCTAAATTTCACTCTAAAAGCTAGTATTAACTTTAAAAAATTGTTTTATAACTCTAGTACAGTAGACATTTGTACATAATCGAGGTATTTATAACAACGGAAGCGTAAGCAAAAGAGGATATATGAAGATTCTATAGTTATAGGTCAACCTGAAGATGGTATGATTTACAGTCTGCACATACTCGATTAGTTAAATTAAATAACGAAACCCTCTGTCATCATTACCATCCTCTAACTATCAAATATCGTATGCTGTTATAACATAAAATGATCTTTCATACTTCTTCATCCTCGACGCAGTATCAGTTGCATAATTTTATAAGTTCGGTAGATCCATCTACGGTGAAATATTTATAGAATTGAAAATTATAGTCCCCTATATTCGTAATTCAAATTGATTTTTATAAACTTTCTTTGCCGATTATTCGTTTAATTTAAATTTTCGTCCTCGCGTAGGTTACAATAAGATCTTACATTTAACAAGAATCACTTCGACCTTACAAAAGGAATCTCAATACTCTTTATTCTATAAATAAAAAAAAAAAAAAAAAAAAAAAAAAAAAAAAAAAAAAGACAGATCATTCAAAAAACGTACATTTTTATATAACATACGTTATATTGATTAAATTGTAACGAGCACGTACACGTCGACTATTGGCGTACGTACAATAATTGAAAGATCACTTAAAGACAAACAGGACCTATGGTACCAGGCTATATAGAAATAAATCATACAACCTTACTGACGATATACCGTCTTAAATAAAAACATAAATGATATAACAAATAATCCTAAGGTGGTTAATGTCTACTTTATGAACATTCTAAACAACGGATATAAAGGTATTATATTCAATATGATATACAATTTCTATATAAAATATTATTTTACATTTTTTAAATCATATCTTTTTGGTATTATCTATTAATTAAGGCATATATATTATTAGACGGATTTAAAGCAAATATTATAAAATAAAAAATTATATAATTTTACTTAATGTTATTATTGAAATAAAAATAAATTGATTTTATTTGTAAAACATTCATAATTTTAAACGAATTTTTAGTTTATGTACAATTAATAATAATAACAATTTTCCTTCTGATTACATATCTGATTTTCCATCATTTTAAAAGTTATTTATATTTAATATTTGTTATTCATTTATGTCATATTGAAATGTTAAAAAGCAATTTATTAAAAAAGAAAAAAGAAAAAAGAAAAAAGAAAAGAAAAAAAGAAGTAAGAATAAAGGAATTTTTGATTAATAGAGATTTTGATTGGTTGGTTTTTCCGGTGTGGTTAACTATGTATTTCATATTATTATTATATTATTTATAATACGAACGTGCAATTTTAATTACAACTGTTTCTATAAATTGTAAAGTTTGAAGTTCAATACTACTGCATCATATTGACGGGGAAGGTGCACAGTGCAAACTCGCGGAAACTTGTAACAGTGACTCGTAAATATCAATCCCATATATCAAATTATATTGATTTTTTGTTAAATTAAAATGTTATCATATTAAAAATTTTTTTGTTCGTTCTTCAATTAATTCATTTTGTTATTATTTGACACGCATAATATTTTATATCATTTCAATTTTTTTTATATTTTTATTATTAATTTATATTCTGGCCAATATACTTGATATTTCTATGAACAATGAAATAAATATCTTTAGAATTTAATGTCTAAATTAATCATTGAATTAATATAATATATTGTGTAAATACTATCTAAAGGATATTGTGTTTTTTAATGAAATCTCGGCATAGGCGAAGAAAATCAACTTTGTTCAAACCAAAAAAACAAAAGAATGTTATATTAGTGAATTTACAATGAAAAGGGAAGAAATAAAAACGAGAAGGTAGAGTTGTATCTGCAAAGTAGTGAAGGCGAATTTTCGAAATACAAAATTATACGAGTAGATGATGGACTTATATTAAACGATATTTCGATTTACGTAGTAAAATCCATTATTGAAACATACCTTTATACCAGCAAACCTTTGAATAAACACTGGTCGACAACTTAGGATTCCGCAATCTTTCGAATCTGGATTTATTGGTGGTGTTTGGGTTCGTTCTTTCTCCGTTCTGACAACAAAACAAAATGTCTACCGTTTTTTTATTTTTTTACTTTATCGTACGTTTAAAAATTATTCAATACTTTAGCGAGATAAATATTATTTAATGTCATTGTATTTAATATTTTTGCACACTCCAACCGTTATCAATAGGGAGTATTTATTTTACTATTATATAAATGAAATTAATCGTGAATTTTAATAATGTTGATCTTATTAAATCAACCCTAGAAATATTGTCTTTAAGTTTATCTGCATAATAATAGAGTGAAACAAGTTGGCTAATAATCCTAACCAAGGATTATCTTTATAATTTCAGAGTAAAATATTCGGAGTCTAAAATAAATATTGTTTCTCTTTTTTTCATACTCCTATGCACTAGAAAGTACGAAGTAAAATCTCTAGTTCAACTTATACAACGTTAATGATTCAAGAACTTTATTCTTCTGCCATATTAAAAACTTGTCAAATCATTCTTATTTTAGAAATTTTTTATTTATTCTAAAATCTGTCTTAATCGCTTCAGTAAGGATTAAATTACGACAGTAATACAAAGTTGAAGAAACAGTTCCTTTCGAGATTACGCAATTAAAACTTGTTAAAATTTTCAATTTCATTTAATTTAAACAGTTCTTATATGCTATGGTTAATATTTAAAAAATCGGAATAAATAATTTCATAGTCATCTGATTTTCTTATATCAATGAAACTTTCAAGTCAAACGGAAATATTTTATGTATCTAAATATAATATATATTTTTCGAATAGTAATAATCAGATGATAATCAACTAATGCAGCTATACGACATATATATGTTAGCATTAATTTAATTAAATGAAAATACATAAATTTTAGAAATACAACATAATATTGGATTACCTGTCCACTACCATGGAAGCACTTGGATTCCTGCTATGACATTTGATAATAAAATCTCTGAAAATTGAAAAAAGAAAAACAAAAGGAATAAGCATGGTGCAAGCATATAAGATTAAAATGTATATTTAAAAGCAATTATAATTTTATATTGTTATTTAGAATTTAATTATACCAAACGCAAAAAAAAAGAAAAGAAGAGAGAAACATATATTGCGTAATATCTGAAATATTTTTAAATTGAAATACTCTTAATATATTAATCATTCTATTAGGATTATAATAATATTCATTTCTCATAATAATTAACAAAATATTTTACCTTAATTCGAAAACAAAATTTACAATAATTTAGAATTCTATTTATTTAATTCGTTATTCAAAAAGAAATTGAAAGATAAATCATCCATTATACATTATATATAAAAATAGTCAACGAACTAATGATATCTTTAGCGCAAAATAAAATAATTAATGAAATAAAAAATATTGTATAATGGATATTTTCAAATTGACTCGAATATTTTAAGAATATATAAAACGAACGTCAACTTTGTATTTTTTTAATAAAACTGACTAACAAAGAATATATTATTCATAAAAATGATCAAAAATGAATACATCTGTATTATTTGCAATTTTTACTTTTTCATCGTACATCGTATGCCTATTTCAATAAAATCTTAATATTTTTTTCTAATTTACTAGTACTTTAAGATGTTTTTACTCGAAAAATTATCTAGCGACATTTAAAAGTTTCTAAATCTAAAACTAAAATATCAACTTCCATTATGATTATATAATTACCTCGTTTCTTGACCTATTTTTAAATAGATTTTATGAGTGATTTCATTGCATTAACAACGTTTTTTCTATTCGCATAATTAGTACACATTAGATCATGTATACGTTTATTTGTAGTAATTTGCATATTTTTTATGAAACATTTATTTTTAAAGCGAACAATTAATAATTAATATCTTTCTTTAGCTTTAAATAAATATTTAACACATGGAGATTTTCTTCTTACACATTCAAGTGTAAATTGCATATGAACGTTTTATTGTATTCGTAAATCCTTAAAATATATAATTTTTTAATACGAGAAACAGAACTTTATTTAATTTATATAATTAAATTTAATTATAATTTCAATTTATCACATTAATAAAATTATTTCAAAATCAATTAATTATTATTAATTAATTATAAATTTTTTTAAAATACTTTTTAAAGATTACCAGTATTAAATTTCTGAGTAAGTATTAAACACTAATGATTTTTAAGGAGAAAAATATAAAACACACATACGCACGCATGAATGTACGCGCGTACATTGCGAAAAAAAAGACAAGTTTTAACTTTATTAAAGTAATAAACCAAACAATTTAAAAAAAAAATAATTAAATTTGTTTTGGATAGACTCTATCTTCGGTAAATTGGTATCACGGCATTTGTGATTTATTACGACAAAATTACTTCTAAAAATGGTCTTTCCTTTCTCGTATTCTATATTTCTTATTATTAGGTAAGACAATTAAAAAGATTCTTATAATTTTATTGTTAGTATTGTTATTAAATACCTCAACATATAATATATATATATATATATATATATATATATATATATATATATATATATATATATATATATATATTATATATCTCTACATATAATATATATATATATATATATATATATATATATATATATATATATATATATATATATATAGATGATTTTTAATATACTTTTAATTATAACAATATTTTCATAAAACATTTTCAATTAAATTTTGTAGATAAATATAAATATCGATTATATGTATGATTCTATTAGAATCAAGTATCGCTAATAAATGAATAAGTATAACGAAATTTAAGAGAACATAAATTTGATTTCAATGGACTATAACTGTTGTTAGCCTAGCCAAAATTAATTTATGTATACACTGAAAAAGTATTTTATTAAATCCGTTACATCTACTTTTACCAATTACAATATTCAGTATTTTTAGATTTTCTTCATATAGTCTAATCGCAGCGGTATGTGGGTATTTCGAGACTATGAGAAATTGTTTCTTGTAAGATAATACTTTCTTATGAATAAAGTGAACATGTATGTACACAGATTTCTTTTGAATTAATTTATTATTTAATAAAAAATCATTATTAGGTGTCAAAGAACTTGTGACGATTCACGATTACAGTTTCGTTAACATCATTATGGAAAAAAAAATGAGTATAGAATTCTTCATATTAACTATAATATCCATCATAAAATAAGCAAATTATTGTTGCGTGCTTTATACAGAATACATACAAGAAAAAGAAACGGAAAGATAAGAGAATAATAGAGAGAGAGAGAGAGAATAAAACCTGTGGTCAACAAGGCCGGAGCTGGGATTCCTACTGTGGCAGCGGATGACAGTGTCGTGGCTAAGTCTGCTACTGCTAGGTTGCTCAGACGCCCCCTCTTGGCCTTCCGGTTGCTCAGTTCCGGCACTCGGTGTACTTTCTGCATAGAGGCCTGTCATTGCATACATACTTTCGTTACGCCGATGACCGGCGTGATAGTTGCTACCTGACTCCGATCTGAGGTACAGATTCATAGTACAAAGTATTTTTTAATCATCAAGAAATTGAAAAGATAAAGAAAGATCTTTTTTTTTTCATAAGACACTCTCAGAATTAAAAATTATTAACCTGAATATAGTTTATCAAGTAGAAAAATAATATTTCTTCTTTAACAAATTTATGTATTTTTGAATGATTAAGACTGTTTAATATAAAAATGAATAAGAGAATTCAAAGATTTAAAAGAGAAAAATTTTAGTTCCTTTATAAAATAATGGCAATAATATGCTCCATCGATAAGGAAATTTATCTATACATATTATATATAACTCAAATTGTATTTAAAAAAACTCTATTCTTCAAGAATACATTGTTTATTTACAGATTTATGTGTTTCAAATAAAATCAATTTTTTTAATTCAACGAATTTTAAAATTAAGAATTTATAATTAAAAACCGAAGCTTTAATTAAGAATCTACCCATATATGAGCTTTTACTTGATTTTTTTTTATTTATTACAATCATAAAATATTAAGTGGTAGCTCTTATTAATTTGGTAAATTTGGCAACTATGCTAACATTATTGGCAATTACAAAATTTAATTTAGTCTTGATACAGCTACGTAATTAATCAAATTATCAAACATTTTTTTCATTTCATTTGAATACTCTTACTTTGTTGATTATATACTTATGGCATACAAATTGTTTTAAATGATTTCTACATTTTATTGTAGCTATAATAATTTTATAATTATCTTTATTTTGACATTTATCATAATTTCGGCTATCATCTATCAAATTATAACATGAAATTGCACTTTCGAGATCTTAATTTAAAAGTCTTAATAAAAACATTAAAGTTTATACGATGAAATTTGATGAATATATTTGCTTTAAATTTTTTCGATTATACATTGTATATTGTATGATATAGAATGAAAATTGGTTATTGTTATTTGCATAAATATTATTTCTCATGATATGCTTTGTTTGAAATTCATTTTAATGATTTTTAAGGTAATAAATGATTAATAAATTATAACATTTTATTATTAAAATTATATTATTAATAATTATATATTAACTTTGACATAATTTTATTATATTTAAATTTTCAATCGTATTTGATCGTGTGACTTTATAGCTGCATATTTTGATGCTTAAATTTTAAATAAATTAATAATTTTAAATTAAATTTGAATTGAATAAAAAATAAAACTTATAATTTTTATGAAGTACCTAACAAATTATCGCACTTGACAGTCGATTTTTTTACTTTACAAACACCAGTATCGAATATTATTTTACATAATCCTTTTATAGGACTAAGAAAACCAATGTTAAAAAATAAACGAATGACCTAGTAACATAAAATAACATTATGTAAACAAACGAACAAGATTTTTATATTTATTCTAATATTTTTACATAATTGTGCACAAATTCGGTACAAAATTATGAAACATTAAAAAATATAGAGAATAATAAAAACTAATGTTAGATTTTGAATACCTACGTAAAGATTAATTTTTTTACAAATTATATTTGAAAAATGATTGGATTATTAATGCTCATTTCATAGAGTATTTTATATAAATATACTATCATAGAGAATCGGATTTAAAATTTAGATGTGACTTTTGCCTAAATATGTTTATATTCAAAAATTAATATATATATATATAAACAAATCAATTGAAATACATAAAAATATTAAATATATCAGAATCATATAAACATTGATTGAGCTTTAAAATGATTCAATAGTGATTTATCATGATTTTTTCATTCGATAAAAATCTTGAATATTTTAGATTGTTCTACATTTAATACTAATGTAAGTTACCTGTTATATTTGAAGAATTCAAATAATTAAGTGCGCAAGTTGATTTTTATACGTTGTGTAATTTATAATGCATTCAGCAGTGCTTTGCGACTTTACCTTCAACACTATCATTTCGATATAAAATTATTCCTAAATTTACAAAAAAAAAAAACGTTTGGAGTACACAAAATTGAATTTCGAAAAATTCTATAAAGATTTAATCCTTTAATGAGACCTTTGTATGTATAATTTGCGTCGCAATCGTTGCAAATAAAACCTTTAATGATAATGACAATGACACTTTGTATTCGTAATGGTGCTTGAGTTAAATGCTTCTAAATATGCAGCGGTAAGTTAGTGCATGAAATCAAGGAATTTACAAAAGTTGGCAAAGTAGGGGATACGAAAAATCAATAAATGTGTAGGAAGTATCGTAGTGACGTAAACGAGCTTTTACTGTAACTGATAAATAATTCGGTAGATAGGCATTCTCTGCGAGGAGGGAGTCCGTAAAGCGGTAATTTTAATTTAAATCTACCTTTTATGTCCAAATATGCTGTCCACGGGTTTGTGGCCACTCTCCGAACGCTTATGGCCAAAGGCACTGGATATGCTCTCGGTCCGCTTGTGGCCCATAAAGCCCGCGATGCCGACTCCACCAGCACCGGACTCATTTTGCTTAAATCCAAAGATACTGGAGCTCGAACCATTGCGTTTGTGGCTGGCAGCTTGCTGTCCATTACCTGATGCCATCCTCACTGGCTTCTCTCCTCCAGTGTGGCTGTCGAGAGCCTCAGGAGCACTTTATCAGGCAACTGGCGCACCTCCTCTCATTTCTGCAATATAACACAATATTTTCTTATTAATTGACCTTGGTTTCGTTGCTCGATGTTACTCATTTATTCAGTAGCAACCGTTCGATTGGCCCACGACTGTAGTTATAGCGCCATTCTTATAGTTTGTACCCGCCACATTCTATAGATGCATGTTTGATGCTTATCATACATAGGCACTTTGAACATGTTGCTGAGATATAAACGATTTGTACGAAGGTGAAAACATTAATTTAAATCAAATTTAAAGTAGTGTTTACCGAGTAAAAAGTGATAGACAACACCAACATATCTTTTATAGCTTCGATTCTTGCTCATTAAAGGATGAAAGTTTAGATTTAGCTGGTATTTATGTATCTCTAATTTGAATTTACATTATTATTGCTAAATGAGAAAGAGAGAAAGTCAGTGGTACTTTATATCATGACAATGACATTGACTTTACATTTTGCCTCTTAACTTTCATACTTTTATCTCCTGTTCTAGTTATATACCTACCTATTCTACTTTATTCTTATATTTTATAAAATATAAATGTATATTTTTAACTATATATGTTAATGCACATAAACATTATATTTCTATATTTATTTTCATACTTGTGTTTAATAATTTTTAAACGGATTTTCTTGTTAAAAGTTTAATATTTTCTTCGTTATTGTAAAAATTATATTGACTATTCAGACAAAATAAACGATGTATCTATAATTATAATTTCCATAATCATTATCAATTTTATAAGATATTCTTTTTAACGAATATCATATACTTACTTACTCTCTAGCAAAGTATTTTAATCTATTAATCTTCATAAAGCTTTAACACTATGAATTACAGTTTCATTATTAATTTACTCCATATACATTTGCATATACATGAAATTGTATTTTAATAATATTTGATAGTATTTATGTGACTACAGTTCAAATAAAAGACAAAAATTCGTAAAAAAATATTGAAATGCCATAACATTTCTTAAATAGGTTCTTCTTCACTAATATACTTAATTTATGGGTATTATACTTTACCCTTAAACAGCACGAATCTGCAAGTAAACCCTTATAAATTTTGAAAGCTTGCCCGTCAATTGACCAAATGCACCCTTTGATAAATGATGTCCTTGACTTTTCATTTTTTCTGTAAAAACACGAAACGTCTGAATTATTATAATACACATTTTGTATTGTTTTCCGTTATTCGGCTTTGTTTTTTGTTACATTAATAATTTTTATAAGAATTATTAATTGATCAATTTACTAATGAAGATTCTCTCACAAAATTATTATTTTCAAAAAGTACACCCGTACAAAAGTTAGTTAAAGTAAAAAAATTGTTTTTAATATTTTAAAAGCTTGTTGCACATTTGTAAAAGTCCAGAATACTATAAAATATATATGATATAAGTATTAAGCAGAATATAAACCAAATTAGAAAGTCATTAAAAGTTTGTATTATATAAGAGAATGTGATTCAAATAAAAACAATACATTTTTGAGGAACAAAAAATAAATTATTGAAGACAAGTAATATAAATATAGAAATAAGTATATTTAGAAATTTTTTGAAATAATGAAAAAATGTCTCGATAACTTGTAACAAATTTTTAACTTTTTTTTAACAATTTGTATAATCAGTATTAAACCGACGGCTTATGTTGAAAAAGAAACTGTCAAAAATAAAATGAAATCTAGAACGCTTCAAACGAATTAAACTTTGACTATGGTAAACTATAGACTTTTTAATATTTCAATTACAAGAAATACAATATTTTCTGTAATTGAATGAATCAAATAACAATATAAACTGTGGATCTTCATTTGGGAATTATTTGGAATAATATACATATATATATATATATATATATATATATTTATTTATTTATTTATCTATCTATATCTCATATATTTTAATATAGAACAATGTAAAGTTAATATGTTTTTACATACAAGTATATTCCACTTATATATCATTTTACTTTATAATTAATAAAATTTTTTATTATCGATATATTTTATTGGTAGATGTATTAACTGAAATTCACAGTTTAATACATAAATGATAAAGCTTATAGTAAACAATATTAATACGTATATGTAAAATATATAACAATTGAAATGCATATATTATTACTATAAAGATGTAGCTTAATATAGATATTAATATAGCTAATAATGCTATTTAAATTGTTAAAATTTCTGTAGCACAAATATTATTTTTCCAAATATGCAGAATAAATTATTCTATAAATTAAAATGTACATTTACTAAAAACCAATGAAAATATAAAGTTAAATATCGATGATGCCGAATCATCTACATCGAGTATGAACCAATAATTTCATGTCTACCATCTAAACTTATGTCATTGTTTTTTAATAAATCTTATTATCTATCGTACAGTACTGTTACATATAATGAGAACTTGTATATATTTTAGTAGAAATTAGTTTTAATTTATAACTGAAAAAAACTGATATATAAAACAATGTCATATGGCATTTTTAAATTATAATTTTTAAATATTATTCTTAGGGTAAAACGTGTTTATAATTACGTATGTTATTATTATTTACTATTATTATTGTTTTTCGTAATATGTAAATATATAAAATGTTCTGTAAAGCCAATATAAATATATAATTTGCTATTATATAGATAATAATATATTAAATTAAAATTATTGATAATCTCTATTGTTCCATATATATTTTATTACATAATAAATATATAAATAATGAAATTTTTGTATATAAAACTACTCGACTGAGCATTTAATAAGTTTCCATTTATTGTAGCGAATAATTGTAACGAATTTACACTCTTAATTTTTAGTTCATTTTCCAAATATACAATGTTTTACAATAAATTAATAAATTCAAACTTCATATAAAATTTATATTTTGAAACAGGATATAATGTATTACTATATATTTTTAATAATTTTGTTAACACAAATTCTTCTAAGGTTTTTTTTTCTACGTTTTGTTTATCATCCTTGATAGTCTTAAATTTTGTATCAAAATACAATGCCATTTTAGTTAAATCTATAAGTAAACAAAACTTTTGTAGTTGACGCGGATGACCTTTGTCAAGTCAATCAATCCCCTTGGACTTCGTTCTGTGAAAAAAAGCAAATTCACACTTGGCCGAATCACTTCCTTCTTTACTAATTAAAGAGCGACTAATTAAAGTATTACTATTCTATTTCAATAAACGAGAAGAGACATTCTTTTTCTTATCGTAAAACTAAAGATTATTTAATACAAATTAAAAGCATACATGTTTTTTTTTTTTTTTTTTTTTTTTTTTTTTTTTTTAATCTCTTTGAAAATCTAATAATGATTCTCAATGCTTCTATATAATAAAATGCAAGTGAAATATTCACAGATTTCTATTTCAAATCTGCGTTTCACATAGTGCTTCAATGCCATTCGTTTTTTTCAAGAATTGTCTCGATTTGACTGAAATCTAATAAATAAACATTTATCGTATATAAATGAATGAAAATCGAATTTGTCTTCTAATCAAAATATTAACTAGTAAAGCTTTGGAATATTAGGAAATTATGAGTCTACGATAGATTTATTATATGACGAATTTCAAAATATATTTGGAATAACAGACAGCGATTAATTTGAATAAATGTCTGAAAGAATCAGGATTTTGTATCTCTTCTATTATTGCAAAATTATAAGAAAAAAACGTATATGTATTTTTTAAAGGAATTTAGAAAAAATATAGGGGTTAGTCGCTATAACGCGTGTATAAAAATATAAGCCTTTAGAAATAAGAAAACAAGAGATTCGACTCGACTAAAATATTGTCTTTTATACACGCGATACAGATGATTGTATATACACGTTTCATGTGCTTAGGTATTCAATGTAAACAGTGTATCACTTTAGTTCAACGTATCGAGTAGTTATTTTAGCAGCATTTTTTGTTTTTCATTAGCATTGACAAATCTCGATTACTCTTCTGTAATGTCCTTAGGTATTGCTGCTGCTTCCTATTAGCATCAATTTCAAAATATATATATATATATATATATATATATATATTGCAATATATTGTACAATATATTGTAACAACTACAATAGAATTTATAAAATTAAAATTAAAACAATTACGACATATATTCTTTTAAAGCTGTTTTTATGTATTCTTCACGTTTTTGTAATTTTGAAAAATGTTAATATAATGCTACATTTATTCTCGATCGTTTTTTTTTTTTTTTTTTTTTTTTTTTTTTTAATAAAAGAAAAAGTAAAATTACAATTTTCTGTTTGTTTTCCACATCAGATCCTTTGTAACATTCGTAGCGTAAATTCATTCAATATTCAAATTTAGACTGTTGTAAGGATTATTATCTATTGTAATAAATGTAAAGAATTTTCATTATACTTTATGAATCCTTATATTTATAATAATTCTAATCGAGCTCAAGCTTTCGATTATGAACACTTTTCATCAAAAGTAAAAGAAAAAAACAAACGATAATTTCAAGATTTATTCAAACTTGACGAGTTGAGAAGAGTTGAAAAGAGAAAAACATTCCATTAGTATAAAAATTCACATCAACGCTTCACTACTAAGTATTATTAAATTTTGCCAGTTCAAGACATTAGGAGGCCAGTTGAAACAGCAAGTTGTCTTACAATATAAAGTCTGAACGTTTCACTTTAGAAGGCACTTTATATATTATTTAATTTTCAGTCTTACCTTATTACTGGATATTAATTTAATGAAACTTTTAAACTTAACTATATAGTTAAGTAACTATTATTCATCAAATATCTAATATAGTATAATTTATATATTTGAAAATGATATATTAAATTAAAGTAGAAGAGGCAATCAAATTTTGTATTTAAAAATACAATTGTTAAAAGAATTTTTATTTATTATATAAGTATGAATCAAATTAAATCGTAGATAAATTTTCAGTAACATTTTGTTCTATTATTATTATTGTTGTTGTTGTTGTTGTTGTTGTTATTATTATTATTATTGTTGTTGTTGTTGTTGTTGTTGTTATTATTATTATCAGCATCGATATTTGTTACTTAATAAATAATAAATAGAATTCAATAATTTTTTTTTATAATCATAAAATAGAGAATGAAATCGAAGTAAAGAGGAAAAGCAAATTAAGAACTTGTAATTGTAATTATAGGTTTTAATTGGTTTAAATAATTATATATTCATTATTTATGTGTAAATGCAGTTTTTTTGTATAGATATATATTCTTGAAGACATCTTTAAGAACGATTTGTGTTATATGTACCGTTAGATACTCGCTCGCAGACCTAGATACTATTTAAAATTGTTACCGTTTCTTCGTTCTTTCGTAACCGTAAACTGTAAAAGATCACGATTAAATTAATTCGCTTAAATTAGTTTTTTTTTTTTTTTTTTTTTTTATCGTAAGGAACATATTTTTCGATAGTTCTTGCTTTTATGTTGAAATAGACTTCTTGGGTTCTCGTTAGCTTATTATTTCAGGTAGAATGACAGCAAAATAACGCGTCGTAATAATTTTAAATTATTCTTGAAGGTATAAAAAGAAACTCGTGTTAATAAATAGTAAACATACAGTTATTTTGTGAATTAATAGCATATAAGATTAGTTAAGTACATATTAGTGGAATATCTTGTAATACGAGTAATCTGAATGATTTAACTTCAATATTCATAGTTAATTACAACATTACAGTAATTTCGCATAGTTGAATAATTTCGCATAGTCGTGCAATAATTTGCATCTAAAACTATACGATAAAAAATAATCTTATATCATTACAGATGAATAATTTCAAAAGTAACACTTAAAGAGTCCTGTCACTATTTCTCTGATATATATTTATTTTTGGGATAGCTGTATGAGATTTGTTGTATGAAAATAAAAAATGTGATGGATATGAATATATAAGTCTGAATGTTAATTTAAACTTAAGCAAAATAATTAGCGAATAAGTAAATAAATAGTAGAATATGTAGTGGCGAAAGTTTATTGATATACGCAAATTTTTAGTGAAAATAGGCTATCAATTAAAAAAGCATAATATAATTATCGAATATTATGGAATGGCATCGCAATTTTTCACACGAATAGTAATGTTGAAATAAATCATTAC